AAGACGTTCCTTTGAAGGTCGATTCCAACGCTGAAGAAAAGTTATTGTAACAGGGACTTGGCATTAAGGTTGAGCAGAGGTAGCACGATGTTATTATGAGGAGTGCAGCTGGACCATGCTGAATGTTCTGAAGAAATTTACCAGTGAGTTATTCTCGCAAACTCCGTCCCTCGTGCTAGGTTTTCAAATGATTTTGCTTTCTTTTTTCCCTTGCCATACGATCTACAGCTTCTAGAAGCAAACGTGCCATATTTGGCCTTTTTTCGTGACGTTACCAAACTCTACGGTCAGAGGACATTGCCGTGATATACTTCTTCGATTGCAATAGTGAAATACATGGGTTGATTATGAGTCATAGCAGTTGTCTCGTCTCTATCCGAATTCGTCGGTTGCTTAGTAACTCTACTTGTTTGGTTCACTTACGAGTTCTGCAGACTTGTGAGCTGATTCCTTGCCATACTTTTTTAGCACTACTTTTTGCTACTGTTGTAAGTACAGATCACAGATTATCCATACTTCCTTGCGCTAGGAAACCCTATTGAGAATAAGTCCCTCTGCGAAGGTGTGCTGGTCAGAATGGAACTGGAGTTTGTGACCGGTGGGAGCCTAGATGAGACCTTCTTGGAGGGCACAGATTTTTCCAGCTCATCTATAAAATTCAATCTTATTCTGGAATAAGTGATTAAAAAAGGGATTTCCCTTCAGTTTTTGTGGGAAATGAACTTCTAACATTCAAAAGAAAAAGCGGTTAATTGTCCTCACTCCACACTTGCTTCTCTGTTTTCTGGCTTTCACTTTATTTGAAGCTCCGATACTGTGGCAGACAAAGGAAGGTTAGGGAGTCATAGATTCTTTGATGACATACCTTCAATGCAATGACTACGAGCGGAAGCGACTCTAGTTTTTCTCTTTCCCTTTTTTGCGATGGCCAGACTAGTTAATTCGATTCAATGAAATAAAAATGACAAATGGACATTTTATTGTAATTGAATTGGCCGTATTCCATTCGCCAGAAGAGTCCAATCAACCGATGACGCCAACTTCACTGAATAACCATGTTTCCACTGAAAAACCCTTTTATATAGGGATGAAATAGGATCGCAGAGAGATTATCTACCCCAAGGGTATGGCTCATTCAACCAGTCTATTTTGCAGTCCATTGAAATTCTTGCCTAGTTACTACTGCAACTAATTTTCTCTGAGCTTCTCTTTGAGCAGCTACTGCTGTACGTTTTCTAACTACGCCAACTTACTTCTACTGATTACTATGATGCTCTCTGAGCCCCACCAGGCTATTGGAAAGTCTTCACTTACTATTTTTGCCCTCCACTTCCCGGAAACATTACTGGAACTGTGTGCCCCGATTCCTTTGCAGTAGTGGTATACGTGAGGGCGACACAGCGCAGTTATTTATTGATCAAACAGCGTCCAATGCACTTTGTTGTGTGTCGTTTTCATGCTCCCCCTCGTAATCCTTTCATTTATGGCTATTTTTAGAATAATGTACTTTTTTGAATAGTCAGCGTCTGCCAGAGCATTTCACCCATTCCTGGATAGTCTTGGAATTTCTGAGTCTATTTAGGCTTTTTAGGCGGCGCCTGAAAAGCCTGACGCCCGGGCACCACGATATTTTTTCCGAACCATTTGGCTCGATACTCGTTTTATATTTTATTTTTTATTAATCTCAATATTTTCATGATATTATATTTGTTCTCAATGTGGAGTGGCAGGAAACGAATTCATACCTACATCGTGACTTTCATCTTATGCACCTAGTCGAAAGTATGTAGAATGTGCTTCCGAGAGAAGTACGGCACCGAATCTTGAAAGGGTAGAGGGATTGGGAGGTCGATATAGGTATCATAGAAAGGCTTGATTCCAGACTATAACTACGGTCATGAGACGGTTTGTCCTTGCCACAACTCCGTTTTTGAGATGAGTACGTTTGTTTCATTTAAGTAATACATAGCTGTGAAAAAATTCAATGTCCCAGAAAAAAGAGCTTCATTTCGATAGAAAAGGAGCTATTTTGGCATTGACCGACTCCGTTTTGCTTCCATTCAGAATCGTTATTATTCCTGAGTAGTGATTTTGGCTTTGCAGTGAATCGCGGCAGTTAGCTACAAACCATAACTTTAGCTTTATTCTCCCACACGGATCTGACACCAACTGTCCCATCTCGGAAAATTTTTATGGTTGGAGCTGATCGATGCGAAAAGATTTCAGGAGCGTGGTATGGTAGTACAGGCCTATAGGGAGGTCTGAAGAGGGTTCCTGTTCAAGAAGATCGTGAAGAGCCTAGACAAAGGGAGCAAATCAACCAATAGGTAACGGTAGATGAAATAAGAAAGTTAATCATAAAAGATCAGTAAGCGAATAGCCGGAACTATATATGGAATTAAAAGGCAAAACCTTAAAGTAGGAAGTAAGGTAAAAATAAGATTCTCTCATTTTCCCATTGAAAAGAGCCTGGGACAACTTAATAGTGTGCTCCCATTGAGTGCTTCCTGTGATTCTTTTCTTGACAACTCTTTTCTGATTCTCCAGTTCCTTATCTTATAGCTTTTATGAAAGGAATGATGCAGAGTTCGCTGTCATTCAATTCTCCACGAGGCTTCGCTGATTCAACTGTGTACACAGTCGACGGCTTTATGTTATGTTGTCATCATACAGACATGCTGCTGAAATTCGTCACATTCCTGTACTCTGCTAAAGGCGAAGCTGGAAAAGGGGCAGGGAGCTTCACCTGGAAATGTCTACCTTTGTTCCTATGTACCTGTTGTTTTACTTGCCACCAAATTTCTGTATTTTTTCTGCTATTGTATGAGCTCTCTTACACAAATACAGTTCTAGGCGGTTCACTGTTTTTACCTTGAACGGAACGTACCATCCTCTCATACCTATCCTTTAGAAATGCCAATGACTTTGTGGTTCAAACTTTGCCCATTGAACTCCGCCTGAAGCTAGTTTTGCAGCTGTCTTGGGCGAAAATGCTTTCTTATTCTCCGAGGTAGGGATCATATCGTAGCGGTTTGTTCTAGTTGTCATGCAACGGTTCTTGGCTCGAAACTATTGAGACCACCCGCAAAATGTAATCGTTTCTTTAGAATCAGGATCGTCTGACGATGAAGCCCCTAATTTAGAAATTGTTCCAACTGTTGAACCCAGTGAGCTCAGTAAGTGTTATGAAGCAGTCACGATACTCAATGGAAGCTGAATTACTTTAGATAGTTCTATGAGTGAAGAGGGTCTAAGTCCATCCTCCTCCTTTCGAAAGAGAGGGTTCATCATTTAAACGGAAGTCGCTGGTGGGTGACACCCAAGTATTTGGATCAGTAGATTTGTCCTATAGAACCGAGCTCTACTTATATCTCGTTATGAATACTTGAAGACATTTTTTTGCCATACTGATGTCTAGAGAGGACATCACGAACGACACGAAGTTTTTCTGAACTCATCGATTATGCATTTTTCTCCATTCCTAGCAAACTCATCCATCAGTCCGTGCCTATCCGTCTGAGCGGTTTCGTTCTAGCAGATGCTCGGGAACTTTTCTGAAGAGTTTTATTGCATCTGATATCCGTTGTGACCGACTGTTCTCCTTTTTTAAATGCTCTCAAAGCTATTCTCGAGCGAATCATACCGGTTCTCATGATTTTCTTTCTCATTCCACCGACACATAATAAATTAACACTTTAGTATTCGCTTTTGTGTAGGAATTCTCTCTCGAACACACTTTCTTGCCCTACTCTTACAATACCCTCTTACGATCTTCCTGGTGCTCAAGACTGCCCAGGCAAAACTTTCGTTTCAGCAAAGGGGCGTGATTTACACATGTATTGGAAGAGATACGATCTATTGAGCAGTTTGAATGGCTGGAGACGCTTTTTGAACTTTTCCTTTTAGGGTTGGTCGAGTAGAACTCATTAAATTACTTGTTAGGTTGAGCATTTATGCTAAGAAATCCAGTTCACCGCATGCCCGTAAATAATAGAGGCAAAAGGCACGAATCTCACTTTCTGCGATCAAAACCGCTCCTCTCTTCAATACAACCCCATCCTCTTGAAGTGAGCAAGGTCGACCTCCTATTGCTTGAACTTTCTTCTTCCTTGTTGTTTTNAGCCTATTTTGGGATGTTTATCGATTTTTCATGTGCGGAATCGATATTCGTGCCAGTTTTCCACTGGAGAGCAGTTTTATTGGAATTACGTACCTAATTGGAGAGCAGCCCTGGTGGAAGTACGTTTCTAAAGTCCTACTGGAGAAGCAAGCCCATTCCTCAGTCGTACCAATTTTTCTCGCAAGAAGAAGTCAAATAGCCGTTACATGTGATTCCCTCGATGCATACATAGCCTTTTTTGGCATGTCCACGACGAACTTGGGGCCACGTCCATTTGCTATCTAAAATCTACTGGTATACGTTTTCTATAGGCATTTCTGGGCTCTCACGCATCTCCAAGGAGAAGGCCATATTAGCATCCATTCCATTATACTGGAATAGGCTCAGCAGGTTTTTCTACAGCATCTGCTGCTCGTCTCCGAGAGACAAAGTGTTATTGCTTTCCGATTCTGGAAAAGGGATGGGCTGAATGGTTCCCCAATGGTGCATCTCATACATGAAAGAGTTTACGTTGGCTCACCTTCAGGACAATCAAACCTTGACGCTTTTGTTTTCTTCTCCATTTCCATCAGAGATCCGCCGTAGTCAGTACAGCCGTTGGCGCAATGCCAACTACTTCTTTTGTAGTCGAAACTTGCTTTATAATTTTGAAGGAAAAGTTGATCGCCTGGCTCACTCGAGCAATCGCTCGGAGTTAGCGATTCGGTCGACTTTTTAGGCCAGCTAAGCATTACTTCAACTCCACTGAGCTGGAATCATTGCTCAGCTGCCGTTAGCCAGTGTTTGAAGTTTTTGTTGGCATCGAATTCCTACCGTAACCGCTTTCCGTTTTCATTTACATCCACTACAAGCGTACAGTATTGAATCTTTGTTTTGAGGGATGTTGAACCAATCGTTAGTCTGCAAAGATGGCCTTCTCATACCGGCACTATCAGTCACACCTGGACATGCTGCCCTCTACCTCATTGGCTTACTCTACAGCTTTTTGGGTATTTCTATAGCTGCCGATGTTTTTATGTGTTCTATTGAACACATTACAAGTGCAACAAGGTGAGCAGTTCAGTCATTTCCCTTTGAGCTATCGAAAAGGAGTGCAGGATTGAGTACAATGAAGTACCACTTATTGATCAGTTTTTCGTAATTTTTCGTACTTTCTGATGAGAATCTATTCAGAAAGGTGAAGAAAACTCGTGATAAAGGCGTTTTGATGGTCGGTAACTTGCCAGACGAAGACGAGTATGAAGAAGTCAAAATCTGGAACCCAACTGTGGCGAATCTTACCTTAATGGTTAGTAATGTTTCTATGCTTTTTTTGTTGTATAAAATGTTTCACTTAAAATTCAATGAAAACTGATTTTTCAAGAAAAATTCCATTACTCTAACATCCACACATTCGGGTCCAGTTGTAAGACCTAATAATTACAAGGGAGATAAGGAGTTTCTGCGTTCTGTGATCTATCGCGTGGCGATTTTGTGAGGTCTAAATGAGCTGGAAACAGAGCTCAAAACAACGTTTAGCTAAACGCTATTGGTTGATAAAGTTTTGGTGAGTTATTGATCAATTTGGATTTCGCAACGCAACCGCGCGCGGACGTGTCTCAGCGCTCCCGGTCGCGCAGAAGTCTGGTATTAACAAAACGAACACTTCTTTTCTCATTTTTTCTCAATTTGAAAATGTTTTATTTGATTTTGAGGTGTTACTATTACATTCAAAATAAAATTTACTAGCATTATATGACATTTATTTTATTCGGAATTTTCTGTGTGTCGTCTCACCGTGCAATTTTATATTTCTTCAGGCTCTCGGTAGTAGTGCACCAGAAATTCTTCTATCTATCATCGAAATCGTTGGACATGGCTTTCATTCGGGAGAACTCGGACCTGGCACGATTGTTGGTAAGAGTTTTTTTCCACATTTGATGCACCTATCAGGATTAACACGAACTTTTTACCCGGTCAACTACCTTTGAACCCACTAACTTCCATAACTTCTAAGTTCTCTAACTTGTCTCGTTGTTATTTTCAGCAGAGTACATTTCCAAATGTATTATAACCATTTTTAAGGTTCGGCAGCGTTCAATCTGTTTTGTATTTCGGCGATTTGTGTGATGGCTGTAGCCTCTCCTAATGTGAAACGTATCCAAATGTTCAAAGTGTTCATCGTTACTGCCTTTTTCGGCACTTTTGCCTACATTTGGCTGTTAGTGGTCAGTTTTACCTCTTCCGTGGTCATTTCAACGCTTGCATCTGATTATAGTATGAGTATTCGTTCAGATTCTCATCCTCATATCACCAGACGTCGTAGAAATTTGGGAAGCGGCCGCAACGTTGGTATTCTTCATAGTGCTGGTCGTCGTTGCGTATTGTGCTGATGTTCAGGTACTGCTATAGTAGGGAACAATTCAGAAGAAAACAGCACCTCCGGGAGGCCAAGCATAAGGGAAGCCAGGAATTAAAAGGGTCGTTTCAATGATGCTCAGGGTAAAAAAAGGGCAAGATCCACGTCTAGCAGAATTGGACCATTAAGTTTTTGGGGAGACATTCAGGCAGAAGGATGTGGAGGCGTAAATAAATAAAATGGAAGGAGTAGAACTCCGATGACGTCTTAGCCTGAACCGTATCCCATTCACCCATCAGATGCCTGCCCAACTGTTCTCTGCCTGTAAAAGGATGAGAGCGGGGGCCTGTTGACATGCGGGTAAAGGGCTAAGTGATTGGGTGAACTGGAAGTCCACTCGAAGGTGTTTTAGCAAGAGGTTTAAGTCTCACACTTGGTTTAGCTAATTATCAGAGATCCGGGGAAAGGGTGGGGCTATCACGGAGGCATAAGCGAAAAGCAGACCTATTGCGGTTTATCTGTAACAGGCAGTCTACAGGGACATTAGAAATCTTTCGTCAATGAACCCTAACAAATTGAGGAATGAGGCATCGGAATATCTTTCGAGTGATACCTTACAAATTCAGTTTATAGGGACTGTCAGGAGGCCATTTCAGATCTGGAACAAGGGCAAGAAGGTGAATTTGGAAGACGAACTTGAAATGGCCGATCAGAAGAAACCTATTGAAAATTTGGATACGAACATCAAACGCTACGCAAGCCAACTGAGCCTACAACCCGATGGAACGGTTTGTCTCCCTTGTTATCGTAATTCCGTGGGCATTCTTGCGGATCACCAACAGTTTTAGCCAGGTAGTCATTAATTTCAATGTGCAGTAGAACTTGGGTGTTATTTCCCTGGGGATGGGGTGAGCTAAGAGTCTGAATCTCGGAGTGATAGCATCTGCCTAATGGATACTTCTAGTGTAGACTTATTTGTCGGAGGGAAGGGGGAGGGGCTATGTGAAGTATCACCCGTTTTGGTCGACTTTTTCTGTGCACCTCCAGATCAGAGGTGTACTTCCTCGGTCATTAAGTATTCGACCTGATCAGGACTTGTTCATCTGACCATGCGTGGCGATAGCAGCGCAACTTGCCAATGAACCATCACCGCTGATCATTAATACTAAGGTTTTACAAAAATATCTTCTTTTGAATGATTTTCGTTCAATTTCAGAAAATCATCGGTGATCTTCCAACCCCACCGAAAGAGTTCCTTCGATCCTTGTCTAGAGACATAGCACGAACATATCCATCGCTAACAATGGACGATCACGCGAAAATCCTTGCTTATAGGCTGAACAAGAGTACGGTAGGTAGAATACGGTATCCCTGCGTCAAGAACTTTATTTCTTCTTCAGAAAATTTGTTTCTTCAGCCAAAAGATCGTCTATTTTACCGAATTCGAGCGGCAAGAATTCTCAGCTCTGGTTTGAAAAAAAGTGATATCGAACGGGAAGTCGAGCAGGAACTGCTGAAGTTTGGCGGTCTTACCATGCCTGACGAAAGAAGTAAGTTAAGCAGGGTTGAGACTTGAGACGGTATTGGAAACTACTACACCTGAAGCTCCGACTTTTAAGAGAAACCTACTGTGGAATTTGCTGCAAGAGTCTATGCTATCGAGCCAAGTGACAAGAAAGTCACCCTTACGGTAGGTTTTCGTTTATGCTATTCATTTATTTAGTTGTTTATTGGTTTTCTTACTTGTTCACTGGGAACCCTCTGGCAATGCTCATCTTGATCACTCTGCAAAAGCTCTCTGGAAAATACGAAATTAAAATCCATATCATGAAAAATATTGAAAAAAAAANNNAAAAAAAAACTACAGAATGATCAGTTTCGAAGACCAACTCTTGACCATTCGTCTGTAAGAGGGTTCAAAAATAGGCCCATTATTGAAAGAAAACGGCTCCTTCGACGACATCCTGGAGGTTCTGAGATTGAGAGCTCGAAAAGAAAGCTCATGACGAACTAGTGAGCTGAGTCATGACCACAGTTGGCTGCCCACGGCCTCTGGTAGGAGCTCTATTTAAAACATTGACGACCTCCTGCCCAAACTAGTATGATCTTGGGCCCTTACATTCCCTAGATATGCCGCCTGGCAGTGCTCGCTAACTTCTAGAACAAATTTCGGCTTTCCTCCCTGTAGTCCCGAATACCCGTCCTTTCCCTCGCCTACCTAAACTTAGCAAGTAACCATAGCCTTGGCCTATAGCGCATATCTGTTTTTCAGATTGTTCGTCATGGTTCATATGATACAGATATTACTTTGAACTACTGCACACAAAGCGGAGTAGCCAAGAAACACCTGCATTTCCTACCGAAATCGGAAACGATCCGTATGACAGCACATGAGAAGACTCGAAATGTGACAGTGGATCTTGTCGAAGAAGCTGACTGGCGACCAAATCATGTTTTCTACGTCAATCTGAAGATCCAGGTATGACAGATGACACCCTAGCTACAGGTAGTTTTTTATGAATCTTTCCAAATTGGTTTTGTAGGATCAACCAGAAAACGACAAGACAAAGCTCGGCTCGTGTGATGTGGCACGAGTACGGTTTCCGGACGATACGGTTTCTTTGATGGGTGGAGCAGCAATGGAATTCGTGAAAGCGAATTATGTTAGTCAGTATTCCAGCAGAAATGATGATCATGCGAAGGCGGAGCTTTGGAAGCGAGCGGCCGCGACGCGGCTTGCAATTGAGCCCCGGCCTGTTGTCTGAGGAACTGTACGCCTCGACTGCGGCTTGTTACGGTGGCTGCGTCACCGCGCCGCGACCGCTTCGTTCTTTATCGCCCCGCCCCTTTGCTTAACGGGAACTCTTACTTTTCCTCTCTATTCATGTTTATTTCTATTTCATTCTCACAGTTCATCTCAATGGATTTCAGGTAGCCAAGGAAAACTGTGGATGGGTACGATTGTTTGTAACAAGGCGTGGCAAAAGACATAGTGGCGATAATGTCGTCATCTATGAGACAACGGACGTGACTGCACAAGCGAACCATGACTACACACCCGTGAAAAATGGACGACTCGTTTTCAAGGGGCAGGTGAGTTGAGCACATGACGTCTAAACCAACTCAATGCCTCGCCGTCAATCAATCCCGTTTCTGGGATGCGCAACGCATTCGACTTTCATTCAGAATCGCAGTAACGTTTTGAATGTGTAGAAGGTGTTGTTTTTCTGTGCTAGGCTCTGTAGCTGTAGCAAAATGCGAAAATGAAAATGAAAATGCAGCTGAAAGGCTTTCCGAAAATGTCTCGAAGGCATCTGCTCCTTCTTTGAAGTAAATGAGTAGCGATAGGTGCAATCCAAGATTACCCAGTTATGTCTAAGGTTGCTACCAACCAGTTTTTCGAATCAAAGAGAAAGTTTAGGAGTACGAGAAGTACATCGACATTGAGATCATAGACGACAAGCACGACGAAAAAGATGAAACATTCAACGTCGAGCTGGTATCGGTTGAAGGAGAAGGCGGTAAGCCCGTTTAACGCTAAAATATGTCACTTCAGCTCAGGTTCAGGCTGGATCAAACCTATTAGGGCTAAAATCAGACTACTTTTCTTTATCGTACCGACAACTGTCGAGGTTTCTTGGTTATTTTCAGAAGTAGCCATCGGCCGGAATCGTCGCACTGTGGTTACAATCGTATCCGACGATAATGCATTGATGAATCTCATCAATGTGCATAAGCTCACTAGCCATTACATGCGGAAACTTTCCACATACAAATCGTCGTGGATGGATCAGGTAGGCCTTCGGTTTGGCCTTCGGGTCAGTTGGGATAAAGCCAGGTCCCCCTCCTAACTGTCTTCTGGGATTCGCACCGGAAAACCAAAATTCCTTACTGCCCACCGCTTGTTTTTAGTTTGTCGATTTCATAAACAAATAAATAAGCAAATGACGTCTTGCGTTGAAGATTCGTGAGGCAATGTCTGTGAATGCTGGTGACACGGCTCATGCAACCTTCACGGAATGTATGCTACACGGTTTGGCATTCCCATGGAAAGTAAGTGATCTTTTGTTATTGTTTTTTTTCGCCTGACCCTTGGGGTTTTTCAAGCGGTAGGCTTCCCCATACCTTCCTAATTCCTCCAACATAACAAGTAACCAGGGTTCCCTATCGTCCAACGGGCTCCAAAATAGCCCTTGTGGGGTGAGCGAGCCATAGTACGTAAGGCTAGACTATAAACCTATGTTAAGATCAGCACGATCCAATAGTCTCCCATCCATGGAGATACCGTATGGTTACAAGCCTTTTGTTTGATGAACCCCCACGACGGTGTCCGCGCAAAGCTTGAGCTCCGGAACAGGACGTCTAGGGCATTCACTGGGTACGTTCTAACATTCCCGTCAGAAACATGCAAGTTAGGAGCAACAAACTTACAATGGTCCGCTTAGCGCCCACCACCGATTTCCAAGTCAATGGGCACCCAAGTTCAAACCCAGCTGCTGAAATTGGTGTAAAAAATATTCAAAATGCCACTTTTA